CTTTTTGGCATGATCCAGTGTTTGTCTTCCCACTAGTTTTTCTTCTTTGCTCATTTCAGCCCTCAGACTCATATCAGAGGAACTAAATCTTAAGCCATGCAAAGCTAGATAAAGCTTGTTTCATAGCCTATTTATACATCTTGAGGCAAAAAGATCATCAGAGAATGATTTAAGAAACTGAGATTGAAAGAGAAATTCAGGCAAGGAAAAGTGAAATGTCAGTATATTTGTCCATTAGCTATAGTTCTGATTGCTGTCTTGCTGACTTTTTACATCATCCCAGAAATATTCTTATTCAGCAAAGAACCTTACTCGTTTCCATTATTCTCCTGCAGAGCCTTCTCTGCTAACCTTTCCAGAAGTTTGTCATTTATTACATATATTATCCATACCTGCATGCTCTGCTTTTTCTTCCTTTTGAAATCAAATGGCTCATTTCCTGTGGATCTGTAACAATAGGAAACACACAGTTACGTCCACTGTTTCTTTCATTTCAACTCTCCATGTCAATGCATATCAGGACCCTTTGATGTGACAGGAAGCATCCCAGAAACAATGTAGATTTTACAGTACCTTTAAAAAGGGACCAAAACTTCCTGTACTGCATGGTACAGCAGCATACCAGAGTTAACTGCCAAATGAACAAAACAGCATTAAGTGCTTTTCTCCTTAATGTACAACAGTACATATTCCACACACTGAGAAGCTCTGATATTTGATCTGTTAGTGGATGACAGGAAAGCTGAACTCAAATTTCAGAGGTGTTTTTACACTCAGTATAATATTAAGGAGATTGAGCCACTGCAAATCCCTTTTCTGTATGCTTAAAGGCGCCTAAGGATCCCTTAAATAACTGTAATTGCCATCTGCCGGCCAAGCCGGGAATGGTCTTTGTCCACAATTTACTTCATCTGGCTAAATTTGGAAATGGATTTTGGCAAGGGAGACAGTGCAATTGGCAGCCGAGTCTGCGCACTGACTGATGAGTGTCCCATCTCATCCTGGAAAGAAGCAGAAAAACTGTAAAGGAGGAGCTGAGTTTGAGGGTTCTGTGACATTGCTATGTTTTTTTGAGGTGTTGATTTAAAAATAGATAGCCAGCAAAATTATCGTTATCTTCTTGTCTGGAAATTCAGCTTTAAGTTTTATACTTTTGAGTGACAAAAGAGAACGTAGGAGAGACAAGTACCTTGCTGCTGGGAGAGGAAGGCCAGGTCTCTGCAAATTTCTGTCTCCAGATCTGAGCTGGTTGGAAGCAGGACGGAGGCACCACAGTAATCCCTGACTTTCCCCTCTTGTCTGCTTTTTCCCAGTTGTGACTTTTTATCTCCCAAGCCCTTCTGTCTCCAAACGAATTTTGCAACCCACCCTGACTCAGAGCCAAACAATTTCTCCCCATCCTTTCAATCCAGAGCCCCTGACATTTTCCATCTCCTTTCCTATCCTTTCCTAAATTCTTTTTCCTAACCAGATTTCCTTCTTTTCCTCCATTCTCACATTTTTTCCACATTCCCCACCTTCTCACTGCAAGAAACCCCAGCCTGCAGAGCACACCTCCTGCCCCCAGCCATTAGTGCAGGTTCCCACACCTGTCCCAGCCTCCTGACTTCTGCTCAGAACAATTCTACCTGTCTAAAGTAAAGGTAAGACAGAGGATGCGGAAAGGCATGACATGTCTTGGGAAACACAGATGTAAGTTTACTTGAATAGTTCTCTACTCCTTGGAAGTTAAAAGACAGGAATTGGACCCTCCCTTACTCTTCTCATCTGCAGGCTGAACAAACCCAGCTTTTTCAGCCTCCACTTGTGCAGTATGTGCTGCAGCATCCTGACCGTCTTGGTGACCCTTCCTGGACCCTCTCCAATTCATAAATATTGCTTTTGCACTAGGGTGGCCCAATCCAAACACAGTACCTCAGACATGGCCTCATACATGTCAAATACAGAGAATAATCACTTCCCTCATCTTGCTGGCCATGCTTTTGCTCATACAGACCAGTTAGTCCTCATGGCTGCAAAAGAAACTACAGCTGCCTATTCAGCTGATTGCTCACCTGCAGCTTCCTGCAAAGCTATTTTTTATACTGTGTATCCCCAGCCTGCACTGCTGCATGTGGTTATGGCAGCCTAGGTGCAGTATTTTGCATTTTCCATTACTGAAGTCCATGAAGTTTTTGTTGGCCATTCAGAAGGAATGTGCTAAGCTGGAGGAAGGATCCATCCTGCTTTCCAGTAGATTGACCCCTTTCTCCAATTCGGTATACTCCATGAGCTTCATGCAGGTACAGACCATTCCACTGCACAGGTGGCAAAGAAGTGAAGCAGTAACTTCTTCTCAGTGTTTCCCAGACTTAATGGACTTATGATAAATGAACTTGCTATATCACTCATAATATTTTCTGGCAGGAGTTCCATAGCTTCATGGCCTGTGGGAAATAACACATTCTTTTATGTGCCACTTATTTCCTGTAAATTTCATCAGATAGTCCCAAATTAACTATCTCTTCCCATACAAGAACAACCTTTTTCTATTAACCATCTCCACATCATCCATGAATGAATATATCTCTGTGATATTCCCTGTCAGTTGTATCTCTGTCAGGCAGAGGAGCTTGATTGAGTCATTCTCTCTGTAGAAGCCATTCCATATCTTTAGGTCATCTTTGGCCTTCTCTGACCTAGCTCTGTTATGGCCCCTTTCAAGCTGGAGGACAGGGATAGCTGAATTGCACACAGCAGTCAGGGTATGGATTCAATTTGAATTTATACAGGAGCAAATGTTTGTACTCTATTTCATTTTCCTCCCACTAATTCTTCTTTGCCCATACTAATTCTTAATGTTTGATTTACTTTTTTGACTATCAGAGTGACTTTTTCACTCTCTAATGTAATGTCAAGGTCTCATTCCAAAGAGCCATGCTTGTTAGTTCAGAACACTTGTAACTTACTTTTTTTTTTTAAGCTGATGTCAGTTTTTGTTCATCATTTGTACATACCAACACCAAATTTAATTTGAGTGGTATGAAAATGGCACCCTCAGAAGAGTCTTCTGGATATCTTTGAGGTGGCACTCATCTCTACAATACCAACTTATCCAACATGAGCAGCAAACTTTGTGACATCATGTTATCAAACTACAAGTTGTGGAAGAATTTGAATATAGCCAGTAACTGGGAAGCAAAATAGCAGCTTAGATTCAATGCTCAGAAACATAAATGTGAAGGAAAAAAACCCCAAAACTTTCTCTAGGTACACGAAATAATGGTCTCTAGTATGTTGTTGTCATTAGAATGTTCATTTGAGAAGAGAGATCTTCTTGACTTACTTTGGCTCCTTCTCTGGCAGAAATAGCTCCCTAAACAATAATGTCTAACAGACACATAAACCATTAATCATTATTAAGAAGAGAAAATAAAAAAGAAAGTCTTGTATATGTCAGAATTAGTCATGCAACAATACCTTTGTTATCACATACAATTCTCAGAAAGAATATAACAGAAGTAGAAGTCTAAAGAGGGCAAATTATCCATATGATACAGCTTCATTGTGGAAAGCATTTAAATTGGCCAAGACTCTTCAGCTTGGGAAATAAATCAGTAAGGAAACTGAGGCCTGTAAGATCATGAAAGGTGAAGAGAAATATTTATCTCTTGATTCTCAAACAAAAGACTTAAGGGGAGTCCAAGAATCCTATCAGGCCTCAGGTTTAACCCAATAATTACTGTGTCGCTCAACAAAACTAAATTATGAAACTAATCAATACAAGGTATTTGAAATGCCAAAATTATATCCTTAACAATAAAATAATAACAAGAGTCATAAAAGAAAGATGCCATAACAACAAAATACAACATGCAGGAGATTGTCTCCAGCTCAAGAACTTTATATACTTCAGGTTTCTTTATACTATGGAATAGTATACTGGGAAATAGCAGGAGAGGTATTGAAATAAAGCTCTGTTAAGTTTCTCCCTGATCTCATACTCTTTCCTAAAGCACCTGGAACAGGACACTTAATGCTCATTTTAAACTTCCAGGGTGAAGATAAAAGCAGTTCCCTGCTACCACAGACACTGCAGTTTATTTTCCTGTATCTGGGGAAATCACACAGAAAACCCATCCAGCAGGTAATGGGTGAGTCTTACCTTTGGGAAAGGAACTCTCTAATTCTTGTCCCTTCAGATGAAAAGAGCTGTTGATGTGAATTGAGTGTGGTTGTTCTTTGTCTTGTGACAGGGGTGAAAATTCAAAGTGGGTAGAAGTAAAAACGTTAGAGTAAAGCACTGTGCTTCTACATAACTGAATTTCTTCAACTTACAAAACATTAGCATGGATATTTGCATTATCATCAGGTTATACCAAATATAAAGGTATGAAATGTTTCCATGGTCACAAATCAACTTTTTCCAATCCCCGGTATTTTCATTCAATGGGATGTTCTGGCTATTCATTCTGATTTGGAAGAACAGAATTTGCAATGTTGCAATTCCCAGCAATTTCCTTTTCCTAACAATTTGTTCTTCATCACAGACTGATTATGAAATGCCAGTGTTTTTGTCTGGAAAAGGAAGGTTTGTGCCACTTCAAAACATTCCTCTTGTAGGTATCTTTATTCGTGCAACTGCTAATCTTTAGTGATCCCACTAAGATCTCTCCCTTGGCAGGAAGCTAGAGTGGCAATGAGATCACTTAGATCTTCTGGTCCATGGAAGGAGGATCCAGCAATTCTCCTATCCCACACCCAAACTATCAATCTAAAACAACAAACCACTTTAATCACACAAGTACTTCTTAGCAAGCACAAAGTAGAAAAGAGGAATAATTATTCTCCAAACAAAGAAACAGGAACGCTTGTTCTCCTTAGTGCAATAGAGAAATAAGAAACAGGGTTCTTGAGGTCAGACTGTGTTGAGCACTCTTCTGCAGTGTATGATTGCAAGTCAGCAGAAGCCCTCAAGGGATAAGATCTTAAGGTGTCTTGGTTTTTTGTTTTTTTTTCAGGAGAAACTACCAGAATGTGGGAAAACCACTTTCAGTCTCTGAAGAGCCATGTGCCACTTCAGTATGTTGGTGAGGACTTTTCCTTACATTGTGTTTTTCACTCTGCTGAGCACAACAAGGTTCTGGGATCCTTCTTGGAGGAACCTGGGTATTACAGTTCTACAATAAATAATTGTGGGCATTCAAAACCTTCTTGAAGATTGGGCTGTGATTTGAAAAGGAATAGAGTAAGATTTAAGACAAACCTCTCGACGAGTCTGCTACAAAACAGACTGTGACAGGTAAATTCAAACTTGGGAAGCTGTGGGTTTGGGGGTTTTGTTGTTTGCTTTTGTTTTTTAAAAAGTGTCAATGGGCCTAAGACTTTACAAATGGAACATGACTCAAGATCCTTAGGTAGGAATGATATGATACTTCATACTGTGATGCACTTACGGGAACCCATGCAGCTCAGAGTAGGGGTCGACACATGATGACAGCTTTCTGTGTGACATACGGGAAAAGGTTTTAAAGGTCTTGCTCCAACTTAAATTTTATAATTGATGATTCTTTCTCCCCTGCAAAACCTCCCTTTTCATACAGACTTCAAAACTGGTTTTACATACATGTGTATCATATAAGTTTTTATCTCTCCTTTTCCTATCTTTCAAAACAGATGTCTAGTTCAATGTCCATGAGGGGACTTAGAAACTTTCTGGTCTTCTGATTCCAGTCATCTGGCTTTTGCTGTGAGAAAACACCTAATGCCTTGTCTTAACAGTTTGCCTGTTCTTTCTTAACACTCACTTGTCTTGCTGACAGAGTTAGGCCCATGGAAATTAGCTCTCTACCTACTAGGTTGAAAAGTTCATCCTGTTCTATTTCTTAATAGAACAACAAGACTTTCCTGTAAACTCAGCTCCCAGAATCGATCACAAGTCTGGTGTAGCTGGCTCTGACCAAATGCTGGCACCCTTTTAAAAAAACCACAAATTTTGACAAGTTTTTTCCTTCTTCTCTGCTAGCATTTAATACATCTTTTCCTCCAGGCATACCAGGCAGGTCGCATAAATCTCCTGCCTCAAGCATGAGTCTCTAAAGGAAGAAGATTTATCTTTGACAGAATCTCACGCATGAGACCATCTTTAGGGTAGGTTTGTCATGTCCTCTGCGGCCCACATGCTGAAAAAAAGTTTCTCTTGTCACTTTCTCATAATATACCTTTAACTATACTTTTTCCTTAACAGGGACAGCTTTGTCTACACGCACTTAAACTCTTCAGTCACTTTACCACATAAACCACAGAATAGATTTCCTTCCAGGAATTGAAAGAAAAGTAACTGAGAACCTAATCAGCTGTTGCCTCCTGAAAACAACAACATGGGTCTAATGGAATTTAAATGAAATTGAAAATATTTTCATAACTGGAGAAAATAACTAAATCTGTCTTCAAAAGATTTGAGGCTCCTTCTAAGATACAGTATTAGCTTTCCAAACATAACATACCACCATGCCGTATTTCTGATCATGCTCAGAGTAGAACAAGCCCAACAATCTTTTACTCAAGTTCATTAAACAGAATCATTCAATGCAGCTCAAATAATCTTTTTCATGCCATAGCTCCATAACATCTGAGGGGAGGGAAGTATGTTGAAAAATCTTTATAGTGGAGAAAATACTTCCAGCTCAACTAGAAGCCACATAAGTTCTGTCAGAAGGTGGTGGAAAGGAGAAGTTTCCTGAATATTATTTTGGAGGTTCCCTTTAAACCAACCTGAACAGATTTCTTGGTGTTGTGCTAAAAGGCACACATATGAACTAGTATCTCCCTTAGTAGTGACCAGGGATGGGTGGTGTTGGGCTTTGTTGAAAAAATTTGACATTTCTGTGAGGTGTTCTTTGTATATAAAATCACAAATTGTGAGTGGTTCCATTTAGGTCAGCTTCTTTCTGGCCAAGCACTGCTGACAGCTGCTCCAGCTGCACCACAGCCCAGACTCCAGCCCTAGGAAGGCACATGGAAGCCACCAACAGAGGCCACACCAATAGGAAACTCACAACTTTCACATTTTACCTTTATTCAAAATGCAATTCTCTTCTGAAAAAGTCAGTTGCCCTTTGCTTTCACATCTGTAAAATGATGTTAAAAGTAATCTTCACAGGGAAAGATGTGAAGCTCACTGGCAAATGCAGGTCTCCAAAACCATTGGTTTCCTTAAGCACAGACTGAACCACAGTAATTCTCAAACTCAGGCACCATCATACAGATAATACTGCAAGCAACAGCACAAGCATCAGGAGTTACCTCACGTCTCCCATCCCACTCCCAGCCTTTTGCTTCCTCCCTAGCACACAGTGCACCACCCAGTTGTGCTGAGCCAGATCAGGGAACTGATCTCACTTCAAAACAAAGAACTTCTCCTTTTTTCCCCCCACCCCTCATTTTTTTAAGCTAGTTAAATTGCCTCATCTGGATGCTAGTCCCACAAACAGCTGCACTTTCACAATCCCTTACGTCAGCACTGCTGCTGAACCACATGGTGTTATCTATAAAGTGTTGGGTTTGCAATTTTGTTGGGGTTTTTTTAAAGAAATATCATTATGTATGACCTGCTGCCTTGGAGAAACTGGAGAAAGCTAATGGCAGGAAGGGTGGGTATCCCTCTCTCTGGAAGGAAAATGAGAAGGAAATGCTCAGCAGTCACCAGGTCTCTGAATCTTTCTTCAAGTGAGCCTTTCTGCTCAGCCCTGAAGAAACGAGCATCTGGAACACAAACAGAAACCCCTCACTCATCAACTACAGAGCACACTTGAGATGAACAGCTGTTTGCTTACGATATCCTGGAAGCCTTTAGGCATCTCAGGTATGCTCAGACAAGACAGAATGTAAAAGAAAAATAAAGGGCACCTACAAACTTCTTTTAATGACATAAAAAAATCAAGTCTGCCTAATTCAAACAACCCTTATGAGCAAGCAATTCCTGTGTGCAAAAAGAGCCAACAGGACCTGAAATCTATAATCTGTTACGAATTGAAAGTTTATTACTCTTTATGGGCAAGCTGCATGTGCACTTTGAAGGGGCTCATTAATTCTTTGTAATAACCTGTTTTCAATTAAAAAAATAAAGGGCTGTGATAGGAGATGGACGCAAGTTCTGCATTGCACTTTTTGCAGCAAACCAGCCCAATACAAATTTCTTGATACTGCAGATGTGAGTGCCCATCTTTTAGCAGTGACACACACCAAACACCTCTGCTCCTGAGAACCAGGAGAGCTCAACTTTGCTTAGAGATGTTTCATCTGAATGTATACTACTAAAAACATTGCTTTGTTGCACTGGACTAGTTTCTGTCACATGCAAGAGCATGATACACCAGGATAGAGACATTTTGCCTGAATCTTTGCTTTCACTTCAACTTCCTCCAGAGGAGAGAACAACTATTGAGCCAAGGAGCTCTATTTCCACTGGAGAAAAACATTAGCAACTTGCAATCAAAACTGAAAAGATATAACTAACTACTCATGGACTTTTTTTGGATTAGGAAAACAGAGGCCCCAACTTAGTACAAGGAATACGCCTTTATCTGAAAAACAGGCAGGGAGGGAAGAGGCTTTTAAACTATCTTTTGGCAACAGCTGACATTAGGCCCCAATATGCCTATCTACAGCTAACATAGATAATCACTGTTGCCAGCAGTCATTCCAGAGCATTAAGCAGCATCAGTAATTCCCCTGCCCAGAGGCCAGCAGCAGGAAGCAATGGTTGAATTTTAGAGTTTTTAAAAAAATAGAGAAAAAAACACCAGCACCTAAAGGTGCCTTAGAATTGATGATACAGGGCTCAGCCTTAAGTGAAGGCTCTTTTACTGCACATGTGCCAAGCACTGCCTTCTCCATGGACCACACATCAATGTTAGGAAAAAGGGAGATAGAGTTTTAAATCCATCTTTCTTTGCATTGCAGCACTGTATATGTAAAAAAAAAGAAATAATTCTTTTCATGTGCGTTACTGAGATCTTCACAGGCAATGTCACACAAGGCAAATATGCACAACCTGCTGGCAGGGGATAATCAACCACAGATATCCTTTTGAATTTGCTGAGCAAAGCCTGACACCCCTTGCACTGGCACCAGCAGGTCAGTGCTCTTGCCCAAATTCTCCATTTGGTAACAACTCGAGAAACGGGCTGAACTGAGAATGGAGAAATGGGTTAGACCTCTCCTGCAGATTTCCCTGCCTCACTGACATGCCTGATCTTGTAACTGACAGGACAGCTCTTCATCTCATCCCCTCTTTTGATTCTGGCTCCTGACCACCGGCTTTGTAGCTTGACTCCTCATGCTGAATGTGGCTCCCAGTTCCTTACTTCACTTTGCCCAGATGTTCTCAGCATGTGCCTTGGTTGTTACAGTGATGAACTGAAAGCAGATTAAGCAAATAATGGTGAGTTCAGAGTACAGAAGACATCTGAGAAAGATGAGGGAGACTGATACCGTGACCACTAGCAGAGCAGAAAGAAGAGATTGATGATGTATCACCACAAGCAATACAGCACAAGAAACTCCTTGCCAGTACAAAGATGATCTGGACGAACAGCAGGAAATGGGTCAGTGCAGCTGTGTCTGGTTTGAAGGCTGTGAGAATAAAAGAAATCAAAAGGAGAAAACTGCGGCAATCAAAATAGAAGGTAGTTAGGGCCCATATGAGCGTACTTTGGTATCATGGACAGAGTGAGAAATCCAGGTTTTGTAGGTGGTGTGTGACATCACAGGAAGAATTATCAGAGGGGAGAAGGGGAACATAATGAGAATTTGGGGAATGTCATTAACCACACATGCTTTCTGTTAAGTTCTGCTCAAAACTTCACTTCTACTTCTCCTGGATTACTTTGTGCTTATATTCTAGAAGCAGGTCAATAGAAAGATCAAGTTGAGTGAGCAGGATTGAAAGTCATAGAAAACAAGAACGGATGAAGAACAGGTGCCTTAGAACTGTCTCAGTCAGCATACATGTATCGTGCTCAATGACGGCTCCAAGTAGATGATTCCCATGTTGTTTAGGATAGGGCTTAATCCCAGATTACTGATA